CACACTTACAAAATATAGCATTACTGTTTCTCAATAAAACGTTTTGGATTTTACATTTACTAATTCCATATAATACTTTCTCTTCATACTAAAGAAAAAGGTATGTCATATGCAATACAAAGTGTTTGTGCTATTATTTAATATTGATTTCTCATGGACTAATTACCTTTTTACATGATGTCTGTTTTTTGCTTTTCTTGTCTCCTTTCCTTTTTTTTTCAGCAATTAATTAAATTTTTCTAAGCTGAGGATGTCATATAAGCCTGTTGCTCTTGGAGATATTAACGTTGGAAAGGTAACAAAATTGGTTTTTTTTAAAAAACATTGTTTTTACTTGTATGAAATAATAAATTTGTTTATCTTTTTATTTAATTAGACTGCTTTCACAATTCAGGTATACATTAAGCTATGGTATATTTTTGGTGAATTTTTAAATGATATGCTATTTTTATTGACTTATAAAACTTGGTTAAATTATTTTGTTGGTATGTATTTTTTCAAATTGTATTAATTTTTCTTTTTATCACGAATTAAAACTAAAATAATTATTACTTTATTTGATTTTGAATACAGTGACCTACCTATTCAATATTTTCATTTTATTTTTAGACCTATGACCCAAAAATTGCAGTTTCATATAAAAAACAAGCAATAATTGATAATCAACCCTGTGTACTAGATGTGCTAGAGACTGCAGCACAAGGTGATACTTTGCTGCTTGCTTATAATAAAATTGAAAACAATAGAATATTTATTTATAATTATAATTATCTTTTTTTTTTAAAGTCTTATAAATTTTTTTATCACCTTACGAAAGAATTCTGCAAATTCTTTTGCAGCTTCTGCTTTTTTAGAACCTACTGCACCAGTATCTTCAAGTGTTTCTTGTAAAAATTTTGCCATCTCTAAACGAACTTTGAGCAATTTTCTTTTTTTTTCTTCCTATGTATAAATTATAATACGTTTTGCATTAATTAAAAAAAACCAAATTAAATTTATTCTATCAAATCATTAATTAATTCCTTCACATATATATCTATTATATACCTTTGAAAATTTATCTTCAAATGTACTTGGTAACATATTTGGAAATAACTTTAATACTACTGGTAATAAAAATTCCATAAAAGGCACAATTATGAAGACTGCAAATGGAACAAGTCTGAATAAATCTGTTGTAGTTCTTCTCAACTAAAAAAAAATTGTCATTGTTATTATATTAAAAAAACTATATAATTTTAAGATTTTCACTAAAATTACTTGTCTGTATTCTCTGCGGGTTAATTTATGTCCTTTGAGCAATTTATACAAAAGCTTTGTTGAAATTTTTATTTCCAATCCCAAAAGTTTTGTTCCATCCCAATAATGTATTAATTCATCCTTGATCCTTATCATCAATGGTTTTTTTTTAATAGCCGTTGTAGATTTGATTTCATTTGCAGATTCATCTTTTGCTAATTGTGCATTTTTATGTGACAATTTTACATTTTCTACAATTTCCTTTAACTTCTCTTTTGAAGGTTCAGTATTTTGAATTGTCTGTAATCTGTTAGATAATAAAAACTGTATTTTGTTGGAGGTGTGAAACGGCTGAATGCTACGCTTATATTGTAAAAATGTTGCTGGTTGGTGGTTTCGTAGAATATTAGATAATTTAACACCATTAATTCGTGCATATGGGACTGTCTCTAGCAAAAAGAACCTCCGAGGTAAATAACTCATTTTGTGTAAATACAAAATTTTGTTACACGGAAAAAAAAGGAAAATTGACCCCCGAAAATTTTGATCATAATCATTATTATCCAAATTTAGAAAACGAAAAATTATCTGAAAATTTTACTTGAAATTTTAGCCGAGATATTAATTTTATTACGTGTAACAAATAAAAATAGGGTATGTAGATCGATCAATTTAATTTTTAGATTTAAAAGAAAGTATCCGGGGTTCTGATCTGCCAATTAAAATAATCAAACATAAATCACGTGACAATTAAAATACTTTTTCCATGCATATTAAATATGTAGATCATACGACGTCAAGTCGCTCCAAACGAATGTCATTTATGGTAAAACGGGGGAGTTGTGCATTGTAAATGATTTAAAAAATTTTTATGTTTTGCATATCAATCAAATTTATTAAATTAATAAAATGTCGCCACAAGATTACGTCGTTAATTAAAGACGTAGATCAGAAATCAATGAAATTTCCAATTTTGATCTCAAAAAAAAATATTTCACTGTTTTGCAAATCTTGAAGTGGCGTTGATTAGTATGTGCAGTACTACTTTTCTAAGTGGCACTTTTTTGACTTTACAATTAAATGGTTATTTGAACGCAAATTTTAACATATTGAAAAAAAAAAACAGGAATCTTCAACATCGAACCAATTACCGCCACAACTTCTGATTCCTCAACCAATAGTTTCGATATTATAGTCGAAACTATCTATATATGTGCCCGAAATCTCTCAAGGATTAGCCAGATGCGAAAGTCTGAAACTCCTATCGAATTTAAAATTCCTGGCCGAAACCTTTTTTATATAGAACTTGTATTAGGGTTTTTATTTGAATAAGGTTTATTCGAAAGTATTCGGATTACATTAAAAGTTTATTCGAATAAAGTGAGTAAATCGACAAAATGAAATGATTAGAATAAAATGAATAAGGTAATTCGAATAAAACGAATAATTCAAATTTGTATTACTACTACTACTACTACTATCTTTTTTGTCCTATAAAATATCACACATAATAATAAAATGTTCAAAATCCCCATAAAATAATTTAAAGTATAGTGAACAAAATAAAAGAAAGATTATTAGAATTCGTTAGAAACTGATAGAGTTGCATGTATTGAGAAAATTTACGAATAATTTTTGGAAAACTTTGTATTTACTATTACGAATAGAAACGCTTATTTATTGAAATTGTTGAGCAGTTATTAAAATCTATTTATATTACTATTGTATTTATTAAAATTATTAATGTAAACTAGGGTTTCTGATCAAAACTAAAAGTGATATTCGAATATTCATAATTATTATCACTTGATATTCGCAATACTTATGGTTAATAGAAACACTTATGACTATTCGAAATATTTCTGGTTAATCGAAATACTTACGTTATTCAACGGTTATTTGAAATACTTACGACCATTCGAAATACTAATACTTATTATATTATATCTGTTTAGAATGTTTTTCAATTTGAAATCTTTCTTGACAAATGGCAACTAATATTTTATGACTATTCGAAATACTTATGGTTATTCAAAATATCAAGGACTATTCGAAGATTTGAAATATTTATGACTATTTTGAAATACTTGCGACTATTTGAAATACTTATGGTTATTCGAAATACTTATGACTATTCGAAACACTTATAATTATTCGAAACACTTATAACTATTACTATTACTATTACTATTACTATTTGAAATACTTATGGTTATACGAAATTCCACCCATTACCGAAAATCATCTGATGTATTTCGAATATTCATAATTCTTTTTTGGATATTTGATTATTCGAAAAGGGGATTAATGATCGGAAACACTAACGTAAACACATTCATCCGTCATTGATGATTGATTTTTTACCAACTAAATCGGAAATCCAATCCAATTCCATTAGTGTGGTTAACATTTGGAACTTTTAAGAGTTTCAGCCCTATATAAAGGTTTCGACTAAGGTTTTAGATTTCAGCCAGGGTGTCGACTTGCCCTTTCAACCCGAATTCCAAAGCTGAAACTAGGCCCGAAAGTCTGAGGTTTAGGCCACATGTATAGTTGAAACAGAGGAAATGCCAATTTGATGATAAATATTGATGAAACCTCAACATATTTGGCATTAAAAGTTAAAAAAGATGTTGGGCCTTTAGTATTGTGGGATAAAAATAAAAAATTCCCCATAATAAAATTTCTCCTATCTCTACATTTGCAGAAATGTTGTTTAGTGATGTAACTATATCATAATATGTTACAACTTGATCATGTTTAATGGTCAGTTTTTAAAATGAATCATGTAGTTTGACATTTTAAATGTAATTAAATATTTTCAAAAGTTTAATAATTAGAATATAAATATCTTTATGTCAATTGTTATCATTATGAATGTTCGAAAGTATTACGAATACTCGCATTATTAATTACAAATGCTCAAAAATATTACTATTACGAATACTTGTATTATTACGAATCGACAGAATAATAAAAGATAATAAAATTCTTGATGAAAGAGCGAAATGCAAAACACGAAATGCAAAAACGCGAGAAGGAAAAAAAGTCAAAACAGTGATCGATATAGGTTCAAAGTTTTGCATCATTTCAAAGCAAAACCTAGAAAAATTGAAAAAGAAACAGTTATAGAAATAAATGATAATCAATTAGAAAGCGTAAAATATTAATAAATGATAACTACAATTCAAGTTCTAGTAGAACAACAATGAAATTTTTTTTATCTAATTCGTGAAACGTTTGTATTGTTTATTAAATTAAAGTTTTGAGCATGTGAATGTCATAAACAATAGGAGCAAGAAATTAAAATAACATGATGTTAAATATATATGCGTGACATAAACAAGTCCAAGTGAAACAAACATTTTCACAATTTAATATAACACTTTTTCGCTAAAACACTTCCATTGTCGGAAATTAATTAATTTTATTTTATTGGTTATTTCAAATAAAAATAAATTAGACCGACAGATCACTGCATTTTTCTTTCCCTGTGGCAAGAATAACATTTAATAATTGTAACCACACACTTCCAACAAGAAAATTTTAATGAATTGTCACGAAGACATCCACGAGACCCAAATCCAATATTATTTGATATCCAATTTGATAATATTATTTTATTATCATTTATATTTTTATTTTTATTACCATTTCTGCTAATATTATTATTGTTGTTATTTCTGTTATTATTATAATTGTGACTATTATTATTGTTTCTTTTTATATGCTTGTTTATAACAAAACGTATTTCTGTATTATAACTTCCTAACAAAGTGTTTTCCGTATTTTTTCTTTGATTAAAACATTCATATACCCTTATTTTCTTAAAAAATAAAGTTTTGAACACATGAATATATCAGGAGCAGGCAAGAAATTAAAATAATACTAATCGCTTATTTATATGCAAATAAACCAATAAAGAATCATATTATCAATATTATTGCGAACTAAAAATTATGAGAAATATATATTTTTTTTAAGAAAAATTCCAGAAGAACATTAAAATAAACTGGTACAATGTGAATCATCTAAAGCGGTTAGGGAAAGTTGAGTGTGAACGCCTGTTGTTACATTAACAAAAAATCAAAAAAAAAAAATGAAATTATTCTAACACTAATATTATAAAATTTTTCCAACTTTGTTGCTAATAGATTATTACCTACCTTTAATAAATCATTGATATTTTTGGGTATAATTCTATAAACATATATGCTTTTATTTATTATACTAGAATAATTCAACCATTTTTATTGATAACCAAAAGTAAACAATATACTTTTATTTACTATAATAGAATAATTCCATTTTTTGTCATTGATGCTTATTGATTAAATACCCTAAATACAAGATGTCCTTTTTTAAAACTCGATATTTCAGTTTTATCAAATCGATAAAAAATCTAAATTAAAAAAGAACACTTTTTTATTGCTAATGATCCATTTAAAAATGTTTATCAATGAAAACATTATAGAAAAACTGTTAATGAAATTTGGTTTCATGATTATACATGGTTAGAAGATGAAAAAATGAAGATATGTACAATCCTTTTTTTTTGTATACTTTGTAAAAGTAGAAATGAAAGTACAAAATTTACACTAAGCACATCAGATTTAAGTTTAGAAGGAATCAAAAGGCATTTGAACACACAACTTCAAAATGAAATAAATAAAAAAAAAATTAGCAATCATATTTATTCTGATCTATGTAAATCAATGAATGACATTACAGTTGAAAATAATAATGAATTAATAATTACTGAAAAAACTTCTACTTTGAAACCTGCTGCTTTAGAAAAAACATTTACCCCTAGATCAACATATGAATCCTAAATTTGTTTCTGATTTTTTGGATAGTATAGCTTCTGTAATGATAAAAATCACCCTTTGAAGAATTGAATTTCTCAATTTATTGGAATATAATGATTGATGAAGCCAACAGTATTGATAATAATAAATATTTAGCAATTGTGGGAAAACATAATATTCCTTATATGAGATATTTGGGCATAATTAATCTAGAACCTACCACTGCAGAAAATATTTATAATCATTTTGTAATTTAAATGCAATACTATATCAAAAAATAATTCATTTTGGAAGTGATGGGGCTTCCAATATGACAGAAAATAAAAGTGGTGTTGCTACAAGATTAAAAAAAATCAATCCTTTATGTCCCCAATTTATGTATTCACATCAAAGTACTATTGAGTTAGTGAACAGTCTTTAGTCAGCCCCAAAAGACCAACTCTTTGGTCTTCCAAAAAAGACTAGATCAACACAATCTTAGTTTAATGAAGTTCTGAAGTTATAAATTTAATCAATTTTTTCCTTGTTCTTTTTTGGCAGTGATTTTTCTTTTGAATGATATCTTGATTCCAGCTTGATTGTTATACAGTCAAGCCTTGTTACAACGAATTTTGAGA